GTTAAACGTGTACGGGTTTCATTTTGACACAAATTTAACCTTCCCTATGGGACATTCTTGCAGCCTTTTATTGCTTTGAGGTTTGACTTTGAGATTTTTGTAAAACCATCTTAAATACATGACGATTTTGAGCGTACGTAACGTCTATTTGCTTTCGACGACATTGTCATCCAAGCAGGTATTTGTTTCTATGAGCCATCCTTCCATTCAGAATGAGTAATACTTGGAAAGCCCCTTATTCAACTACTGAAAGAGAAGTAATCTGTACCTGTTATAGCAGTGATCTTAAATAAGTAAAACCTTCTCATCTCAGATAAGAATAATAACCCCAAGTGGAAGCGCAATTATTTATGAAGAAGAAACTGCAGAAGACGGAAATATAAGGGATATTAAGGTAAATCATCATAAGAAACAACTGGCTATTTGTGTGTTACGTTATAATATTTGAGAATGTGTTTTGACATTGAAGGCAAGCGAGTGAATCAACGTATTGAGAAAATAGCCTCAATGAAGGAAGTTAATTTGTAAAAAGATAACCGCATTAATTTTTTATGAATGCTACATCTCCAAATTCAGCTTTCTATTAGTGTTGGCAAGCAACATATGTAAAAACTTTACATGTCTGCATGCTTTCTTCCGCTTACTACTTTACAGACAACACCATCTGCTATGATCGTGCACATCAACATGCTACAAGTGATGTTTCCACGCGGCTTAAAACACAATTCCATTCCAATTAATATTTCCGTTGCCACATGGCGTGAATATGACTTAGAGGAAGTAGTAGGATATATGAGCTTTCGACTTGAGCAAATAAAATTCAGAGGAAAGGCTATTTTTACAAAATAATTTTTTTGTAGTGGAGCATTTGCTTAGAGTGGTCATAGAATGAAGCTAGGTCCGTTGGTCTAAATCAAAGCCTGCTAAGTGCATCGTCTTGGTAATAGACGAAATGGAAAAAGCGAGCTCACTTTTAAATGCAGATGGTATAAACATTTGTAGGAATTGTGACGCGCCAGTGGGTGATAAGGCACCTTAGCGAAAACCGGTTACGCATTGACGCACGATGCAAGTACTCGGCGAGAATGACTTAATGCGCGTCTGTCAAGCAGAGACGATGCATTAGCCACCTGGAGGGAGGCCTCATCGGATGGGAAGAAGGGCTCCGATGTGAGTTTTTTTCTTTTTCATACAGCCGTATATTCCGTAAGTAAATCATTTCAAGTGAAATTTTTACTACAATATTCTTTCATTACAGTCATCCCTAAAGTGGCTGAGTAAAGGGTCAAAAATAATAAGCTGTGATTCATAAGCTAATAAGAGAGCTAATTTTGGTCAAAAGAAACGAACTTCCTGTTGAAAGGTTCTCATATCCAACAAAGGCGGAAGAGACCTTTATGATAGCAGATCCTTGTTTACATAAGGTAGCGAAAGAGACGTTGTGGACCTAAAACAGCACCTAACGTCATCTACCAACTCCCCGATGGAATGAGAACTTATATTTCTCTACGAATTCAAGTTTTACTCAAATTAACTTGTGTTGAGTACGTAAAAAATCACGATTTTAGAGGGGTCTATTCCAGTTGACATATCGATTGCTGAAGCTTTGTAATATACTAAATCACCAAACACATATTTTCCTTAAAAAAAAGCAAGGTAAGTGGAAATATACACATTAATTTATGTTGATGGTCCATAATTCTTACCTTACAATAATAAAGTCTCACAGTAATTTATATATAGCCTAGAAAAGGGCACAGCTTTTAGCTCTTTAAAAGACTGTAATACTCAACAGAAACGAATTTTCAAGCGACAGAGGGCAGTTCTTTGGTAAAAGTTTGGTAGTACTTTTCCCCTTATATGAGTGATTGTCTGGAGTGAGCGCGAGCGCACAATAGGCCCATGGACGTTTTGCTCTGTCATTAAATGATCAAATTTCAATCTGCCAGTGCCTTTTTCTGATACAAAAAACTAGAATTGAAGTATTTTTCTTGAGATTTTAATAGAAATCCTAGCCCCAATTATGATACGTTGAAGTAAGTACTACTCTTTTGGCAAACTACATTTTGCAAGGCTTTTCGATTGCATGGTAAAATTAGTGCTGTAATATGTCTTTATTGTTCAAGCATATGAAAGGTAAAGACATCATTCCTATGACATTACAGCTAAAGTATTTCCCAACCCAGAAAAGATCTTGGTTGTCTGCATTATTTCAATCGTATGGCAAAGCACGCAAACTCCTCCCCTTCAAAAAGAGGATAAATTGCGGATCTAGAAAACCATTCCAAAAGTTTACAGCCAGTATGAAATTTTAATGGTCTAATTGTGATTGGGGTTTTTTAATAAGTCCATTTCGTGCTCCTTGATATTCCATGGAAAAGGTGCAGAAGACATATTCTTGAATAACGCGTGCATACAGGATTATGCATTATGCAAAAGCAACTTCAAGATGCAACGACAAGTTTAGAACCCTTCGACTATGGTGTAACGCGTTGGGTAAAGGACCCATTTTGGGCATCTTTACCAGTAGCCTCTAGCCCTTCCATATGCCAAATGTATATATATTCTACTCGGCTATTATGTCTTCTCTCTTCAGGGGGTCTCGGAGAGATGCAATAGCACATCTGAAAACTGACTTAAATCAGAATTATTCATACATCAGCTGTGGTATATCCATAGGCCAGATACTTCATTTGCCACCTTAACTTTTATGTCATTGGGAAAATTAATGCAAAAATAAGTATATGTCTGCTTCGAATAAAACAAACTCACTTGTTGGATGGTGTAGTGTAAAATATGCTCCTTTTAAACCGATTTTCTAGGCAACAAGCCCAAAAAATGAAAAAAATCTCGTAGTTCTTCAAATGTCATTTCCTCCTCAAGAGGATCCTGACTTCACTTCCCTTCAAGGCCCGTATACACTTGGTATAAATTACATTTTAACGATGCAGTATGCAAATCGACCCCATTGATCGAAAGACGTCAATGCGAGAAACAAACTAAGTCCTGCGATAGCAGCACTTCCTTTCCCTTGGGGTATACAGCGCAAAATAATAAACAAGCAAAAGTAGTTCCCTAGGACAAAGTTGGTCTAAAATACATACTTCTTCACAAAAAGTTGTTATGGAATTAGCGACACGTTGGTGTGAAGAGAGACCCACTCCAACTCAATTAAACATTTTTAGCTTAGCATTTCAGATGTCAAAGTGGAACTTAATTCGAATAATGTGCACTAGGCAGGCAATTATGTTCGTAATCATTTAAAAATGTCAATAAAATGGTTTGTTTTGGTGAGACTTGTAAATGAACTCATACGCTAATAAAGCATAAATGCACAGCAAAAAATTAGGAAAAAAGTCTTTTTGGCTTTATATGTTTAAAAAAACCGTATCAAATTAAAAGTAACTGAATTTGGCGCATCATCAACAATAAAATTGGCATACAGGTATGGCTGACATCCCACTATTGTGATTGGTTAAAGTAATTTGAGTTGCGGTCTCCGGGCCAGTTGGGTCTCTTCGTTGCTTGATTTTCAGGTTTTTCACTCATAATTTTCCTCACGTATATCTAACTGGGTTCTAAAAACAAGCACTAAATGAGCTGGAACAATCAACCAATGTGCACACCTGGTGGCTCTATGCAGCACGGCTCTTTCGGAGGCAATTACATGCCCCCATTTGACCAAATGGGAAATACTGCTCCAGTAGAAACAGAAAGTTTGTCTCTCGAGCACCGTACTCAGGTCACCGGTCGTGAACTTCAGGAGCTTTTAAGCGTCTCCCATCAGAGTATTGACGAGGCTCAGGAAAGGTTAGCTGTTTATCTTTGAGTCATTTACTCGTTCAATGTTCACCACTGCATGCATTCGCATGAGATGATGCTTGTCTGCCTGTGTTATTATTGTGCGTTAACAGTCGTATCAAATCGCATTCATCGCAGAGTTTTCGTTTGGGGTTAACAATATTGCACCAAATTTATTGTAGGTATATCTGTCCATTATTTGCCGTTGTCTGCATCATTTTCAAGTAGATCTGTATCGGCACAATGACATTTACTTACTCAGAATCTCTATCGTAATCCCGGGCTTCCACATTCTCTTTTTAGCTGGCTCAGTTGACATAAGCTTCACCAAGTAAAATCCTAAGAATAGTATCGGTGCGTGTTAGTAAAACCATATATAAGGCCATTTGGTGAAGTAAACTGATTAATGTAAATTCCGTTAGTGTTACACCTGTCAGTTGCCTTACCTGTTGTAACGCCGCTCACTATTTCTTTTCCTAGAAAGCAAGCATTAAACAACCACCGATTGAAACCGGCTCTTTACAATGTCTTTTGTGAGATAAAGGAGAAGACAGGTATTTTATAAAATGAGTTTTAAGCCCTCACTTTTGCATTTTTTGCACCTTTTAACAAGCATCAAATGAATAACAACTTGTGGTTTTTTCGCACCGATCGTGCTCGGTGTAGTTAAGCGTATATACACTAATTTTACAATCTTCAGAGTACTAATTTGCAATTTTAATTTGGTCTTTATTTAGGTTGTACTTATTCTTTATAATTGTTAAATTCATGTGATAGTGTTTGCTACATTTGTGCCTATGCAGTAAAGCCGGATATCGGGATGACTTGGAATAGCCTTCGCATCACTGTTGCCAATTCTCTTTCATATATCTGAAAACCTACAAAATCGTCTAGTTTTATGCGATGCAATACTACATTAGGTTTCATTCGTAGTTGTTCGGTCTAATAGGGTGTTTTATACACTACCGTTTACCCCTCCAAAGATTACGAAGTTCATAGTTACTTGGTTCTGTAGCTTTGAGCCTCCGTAGCACCGCTGCCGCAAGCACGGAGGAGGAGCTAAACGCCCCTGACCCACAGTTATTGCGGTTGGACAAGATGCTAATTGCCGAGGGCGTCACAGGGACGAACGACATCGGGGACTTTGACGGTACTGGTGGTGGAATGGCAGGCGATAGTGGCCAGATTGAGCATGCAGACTACCGGGCCAAACTCACTCAGATACGCCAGCTGTATCACACGGAGCTGGAGAAGTACAAGAGCGTATGAGTTACTTTCACTTGTGTAATCATTCCTATTTGTTCAGTAAAAGTTCACTTAAGCACTTCCTACGCGCCTTTCCGACTTTCCACGCCTTCCCTTTATGGCCTAGTGTATCTTCAGAGGCTAAAAACGCTATATGAATGTTTCTAAACTTTTCGTTCCTAACCTATTTCCTGGTCATGGATTCGGAAGAAACTTGATTTCAGAACCGTCGGTTGTACGCATATAAAAGCAAGAGAATAGACTGTCTTAGTTATCACAAACATCATCATAAGAATTTATTATTTTGCGGCTAGGTGTATCCCGATTTAATTTTGTATCTATTTTTTGGGCACTTTGTTCTCAGGCTTGCGATGAGTTCACTGGTCATGTGATCAACCTACTCCGAGAGCAGAGCCGAAGTCGGCCCATCTCCTCGACAGAAATCGATCTCATGGTCGGTATCATTCGTCGGAAATTCCGTGCTATTGAAACCCAGTTAAAGCAGAGTATTTGTGAAGCTGTCATGATTCTTCGCTCCCGCTTCCTCGATGCCAGGTGAGTCGGTGAATGTGCAGCACTAGAGCCACTTTTGGAGATGCAGAAGGAACCAATGCAGGTCATGGCACTATGGACGGGTTGATCATAAAAATATCGCGCACAAAGTTTAATAACACTACAGCTCTTATCATTCATGCACATACAAATGATCTAGTGGCAGGCACACCAGATAGGTTTGAATGTTAATTTTTTCGACCATAGTATCGTTTGCATGTGTCATCTTCGCCAATGCATGTGCCTCACTCACACGAAGTTGCATAAACTAATTAATACGCCGTGCATTTGAATTGTATCTTTGGAAGGTAACTGACACAATGACAAGCTAGAAAACGTGAGGCAAAGGTTCTTCTTTGAGTACTGGCTTTCTAATTCGACATGAGTCTCCATCGTTTTTATCTAAGCCTCTCTGGTTTATGCTGCTTCCTGACAGTATGTTTATCTTTACCGGTGTTCATTAAAATACCTACTTACAACCAATTTTCATCTTTTTTTAAATGATAAGTCGACTTCCAGTCTCAGTAAAGTGTGAAATCGAATCTTTCACTAAGTAGGAATTGTGATGATACAGTCCCATCTCCTGAGCAACATACTGCGCTTAAGTTCTGAAAAGGAATCATTTGTTTCTGATTTTACGTTTTAATGCTCCGAAAACCCGATCGGTTTGTCCCCTCTTCCATCCACTCTACTTATGCTGTTTGTGATCTGAAGCCACCACCTATTTTAAGAGTGAAGTTCAGGATAATTCAACATTTTGGCATGGATAAAGCGTTAATTGCATAAATGACTAATGAGTAATACCAAGGATGCCATCGCAGCTGTGCTATTAACTCGACGCTGGTCAGTTGTGTGACATGCCGACTCCCACCCTATATTCACCACGTCACTTTGGGTTGTAGATTTCGAGTTCAGTTACATACTCATCATCTTATAACTGTCGTGGCTAATTTTATGGTGCTTTCCTGGGGTATGGTATCAGGCTAATTTGATTAACTCACAACCCTAAAATGACCTGTGCAAGTGCCCTCTGCCTTGGGACCCCATTTTTACAGGTTCCAGTTTAAATTCAACACGTTTGAGGAGTTACGTTCCGATTCTACTGACAAACGTGGTAAACCCAAATTTTTGTTCAACGCTTTGATGGGAACGAGAAAATCCCTCCTCCAGTATCTCTTGTCTCGCCTACTTTTAGTGTGGTCGTGGTAGTCGCGTAAGCGACTTTCCATCATTAGGGCGTTTAGTAAGCAGGTGCTTCGAATGAATCTTAATCAAAAATTTCATTGCTCTGCAGTTTTTTTCATAAAAATACTCAAAATCAAAATGCTTTAATTTACTATGCAACTTGATCCTGATTTTTTCGTTCACTTCTTTTTAATTCTGCGGAATTTTCCTGGAACCTGGTTTGTAACAAACAACGATATCATCTAACTAGCGTTAACGTGAATTTTCATCTTGTCCCTCAGTCATTTGATTATAAGTCTCTTTTTTCGCTGTTGAATCCAAATGCAATTGGACTTTCTGATAGGGAAAATAGCATGAAATTCCCTTCCGCTCCCTCGATTTTTCTTCTATTAAAGTATGACTTGTTCCGAAAATGACGTGGTTTGAAGCCAAACCCATAGTCCCTTTTCGTGAATGAGGGTGAAAGGTAAAGGAAATCTTTAAGAGTTGTCAAATACTTTTGTTCCGGTGAAGAAATATGTTCACATGTGTTGGGCTAGCGGCTAATTGAGGAGCTTACAGAACTTTGGATAGCTTTTGTCGAAGTAAGATTTCGTTAATTTAAAAGTAGCCTTTTTTTAGAACATTGAGTTTCGCTATCTAAAATATCTCTAAATTATTGAATACCATGGAATGACGACTAATTAGTCGTGCTTCCCAAACCTCCCTTACTTGTTGTTCGAACACAGACTGTTGAAACTAATCTTGTTTGAGATTGTCATCGAAATGCTTTTGAATTCACACCCTTTTTTGTGTGACTATTTTCTAGGTTGGAACCACGATTTCCACTTTAGAAACCAATCCCATGTTTCCAGTTTAACTTTTTACACATTTGAAGTTAGCGTTATTTTCGTCGGAGGGCTGAACATTTGCATTTCCATCACCTATTTATGTTGACTGCTTAGAAGTGCGTCAGCGCTTTTTCTGGAACAGCTGAGGTGTAGATAGAGGTCTGAGTTATTTAATTTACTTTATCCCTGGCATTTTGCTTGCCAGAATACATTGAAGTATTTTGAAGTTATTTTTTCATTCTCACTTGCATAAATACTCGATTTATCGTTGTTTTCTTGTCACATAATCTCATGTACATCTTCTTTTGCAATTTGAAGTTTACGTTTGCATGCATATTGCATCACACTTTTACTGCTCCTTTTTTTCTTCATTTTCCACACGGAAATCACGCTTTTCATTGAAGCATTTCCTTCCATTTCGAGCGAAGAATTGAAGCAAACATGTACGCGTATTTTTTTTCTGGACAACCATTTTTCATGCTGTTAAGTCAGTTGTAAATACCATATTTTACTGCGGCTTAATCTGAAGTATATTATGGAAATTGCTTTTCCCTTCACTTGTTTATACCCTAGTGAGTTCCCTTTCCTCTTTTCAGGGCAAATAAACAGCCCTTTCTAGCCCAGAAGGTTCTTGTCATAATCGGTTGCCTTATAATCGTTTTGATTTCAACAATTTTTACTTCCCCTTCTATTTTGAATTCGCACGTTATTTTATTCAAAAGTCCCCCTAGTATCTTTCCTTTACAATAGCAAAAAGCTTCAAACTTACCTTCTCGTTTAGCAGCTACGTTTTATTCAAACCTTTTGCTTTCTAACGGCATGATGTGGCATACGTACATCTGGAAAAAAAGATTTTACGCATTGCATCGAGTGTTCAATGACACGGGTGAAAGGCGTACCCACACACATATGAAAGAGTTGATGGTTTAAGGATGACGTTTTGGTCTTGTTTTTCTTTTCAGACGTAAACGTCGGAATTTCAGCAAGGAGGCCACTGAAGTACTTAATGAGTATTTCTACTCTCACTTGGCTAACCCCTATCCCTCAGAGGAGGCCAAGGAGGAACTTGCCAAGAAATGTGGCATCACCGTTTCTCAGGTAGTTCATTTTTACTACACTTTCTGTAGTTTGTTTATGTTGGTCTAGGCGTAAAACCATTATCCTTTCATGCGCACTTCTGCTTCAAGTGGTCTTCTTTCATTGTATCAGTTTCCTAACTTGGTAAAAGGATTTTGGCTGTTTTAACCTTTCTATGACCGTCCTACTGTCTCTCAGTTCCATAAAGTAGTCCCCATCACAGGCTATCTTAACATCGCGGATCTGTTCGAATGTTTGTCCATGTTCCTCTTGACCATCTAAATTCCTGTGTTTCTGCCATCAGTTCAAGTTTGTAGCGTGGTGTGCACTCCAATCTATCAAATAGATTTTCTAAGCGTTTTGTTTAGGCCGCTACCCGAATGTGACTACAGTAATTTTATGTGCATCCAATCACGTCACTTGAGCCATTAAACTTACGCTTATTGCATTTCTTACAATAGCCACGCGGAGAGAATTACTCTCCCACTATTTTGACTCCGGTAGGTTGCGACCTTTACACATTTACAATGTTTGCATTTGAAATTTAAACAAACAAAACAAGTAGCGTCAAGCGACTTGTGAATCTGTGCCTCTACCCCTTTCTTCCTCTGTTCCCCCCACAAGTGCCTGTCATGGGGGCAACAGATTACCAAACACGATTATGATTATTGGCATTTAGGAAACTGCGCGAGACCTATTGCAGTCGCCGCTAACCGAAATACGCGCTCGCATTTACGTGCAAGCATAGCACCTGCATTTTTTTCAAGTTTTATAATTTACAAACGCTTTCCTAATTGTACAACTCACGTTAAGGGCATTTCTGATCAAGAATATGATGTACTCTACAAGTATGCGTTTGCCCCAATTGTTCACATCTTGATTAGGTTAAGCAATGTATTCACCGAATCTAACTTTGGACACGACTTGTTTTTTTACATGCCTTCAGCTCAATGCAATCTGGCAATTCTTATATGCGTTCTTCCCTATGCGCAACTCTGATGCAACGCTCTCTAATTTATAAATTGGAACCCGTAAAAATCACCCCATTTTAGCGTTCTCACATTGGGTATCCCTTTTGGCAGCTGAAACCGATAGCTGAGGTGATGGAAGTCAGCTATGGCCAAGGGACGGCTCCCAATGCGTCCATGCAAAGGCCGTCATAAATGACGTGGTCGGGGCCCTGCACAATTGACCTGGTAGTCACAACAGCATGAGCTAGTCAAAACCGATATCACCATTCGATGATGTTAATTCGTTATTTTGTATTTAATTCATCGGTAGCGAGTGTTTTGGCTGTTAGGTAGGATGTCACCGGTTGGCAGATCGCTCGGAGTAGGGCCCTGCAAGGCAATCGGCATTCATATCGTAAATCCGATTTTAGTGAACGCTTCTTCCGCCTACTGTCACTTTCTTAGCAATGAGCCTGGGTTTGGTAGGGCTAGGAAGTCGGTCTAATTTGAATTTCTGTTTCACATGAGGTTCCTCCGTATGACGCATCTTCATTCGTTTATGACTTTATTCTTTCAACTGTTCTTGTTGTGAAGTCGACAAAGCTTGGTCCCCGTTGTAAATACATTTCAGGGGTGTTTATTGACGTTTTCAAAATATGAGGTCAACATCATAAAGGAATCTCATGTCCCCTCGCCATCAAGCCCATTAGTGATTGAGCTATATCTCTTCAAGCTATCAAACGTGTCGTGTCAAGAAATGACTCGCCACAGTCGAGCTGATGATACTAGGATCCCACGATTCCCATGTGATTATTGGTAACAAACTTGTTTTGTCAAACAAGCGGATAGTACCACACGGCCGGTTGGTTGAGTAGATGACACTGCCATTTCTGCTGACATGCTTCAGGTTTCCAATTGGTTCGGCAACAAGCGGATCCGGTACAAGAAGAATATTGTCAAGGCCAAGGAGGAGGCCAATATGCACGCAGCGATGACGGCTGCTGCCGCTGTCTCCGAAGGCACAGGTAGACTGCCGCCTCACCCCCACGCCATGCCCGATGATGTAGGTCCCTCTCCATAGTGTTATTTATCCCATTTATTGAGTTTCCAAGCTGTCACTCATTCTGTTTTTGATCAGGCCCCAATCATGCAGTGATTGAAGTTTATCTTCTATAAGCTTTACTCAGTCTCTAAATTTTGGCGTATTTGCTTGAAAAATGACCTTAAAACTACAACTGCATATGTAAAATGACTTACATCTGCCCCATATTTAAAAATCGCTACTGTCTCCATTGTTCTTCGAAGTGAAGTCACTGTATTCGAGCAATGTGCTAAATATCCCGTGCTTATGATCCGATGAGTTTGTTTCGGTTCTCCCAAGCTTGGATCTTTGGGGTAGTCTCTCCGATGTTCGGCCAACTTTTCTTTCGGATGACAAGTGGCATTAGATGTGAACATAAACTGGGCTACTTTTTCAAGCAATTCTCTTCATAGAGGTGTAACCCTGAACCCTGGGAGAGTACATAAAATAAGTACCTCAATTTAGAGTTAATTGCAGGGTATCTAGTCAGGGTTTAGCAAGCGGTAGATTGACAGTGACCGTGGAGTGCATGGTACTCGTATATTCTAGCACTACGAGAGCTGATATTTGTTGTTTAATGCCCTAGCACGTGACATCCTCGTACCCACACGCACCAGTCATGTACGACTACGAGGAGCAGCAGCAGCAGTTACAGAGCCAGTCGGCGGCGTCGGAGCACCGAGACACCGGCGGATGGATGGCCGACGAGCCAGAGCGTAAACGCAGCAAGATGTGAACCTTCTTTCACCAGTTTTACTCTGTTCTTGCACCCATGGTAGCGACGATGAGCCTCTGAAACGACTACTGTTTCCCGTCACGTAGCCGCCTCTTCCGTTATTAGCATCGTCCTCTTAATCAATGCCATCGTAACAGGTGTCCCCAATCTTACCACCTTTTATCAATTTTTCGACATCTTAACGTTGCTACCCGCATTTTGCTTGTCCTATAGACCACTTTGCAAATATACGTACATTGTACCGTGGCGTTTCATCATCATCTTGCTCTTATTGTACAACTACTATTGAGCTGGATTTCTCCCTCTGGATTCGGTTGATTTTACTGCCGTTTAAAGCGAGTAAACATGTACGACGTAGTCAGTGGAGAAGTACGTGGCGCTTCCCTCACCGCGTAAATTGCACGGCCGCGACGAGGAGACAAACTACCAGAGTAAAATGGAGGTGTGTAGATCCCATGACTTTGGCAACATGAGCCGCAGTGGTCCGCACGCTTAGCATGTGTTGTTAAGAAACTTTCATTGCTAAGTCGCCCCAACAAGGAAGGGGAAAACGACCATTTCCCGGTTAAATCGCATCAACTATATCTGCTCACAAGGGTCTCATTAGTTCGGTGAGATTTCTAGTCAATATTCTGGCACCTGACTAAAATAATGCAGATTGGTAGGGAACTGCGGCTCTTCACTTGATTTTGGGGCCGTTGCTGAACTTCTTACGTGTAAGTTAAAGTATCTCAAGAAGACTGCGCCAATGCTGGGCCAATCAGGCCTCCCCATATAGATAAAACATCAAATCAAAAGCTGGATAGCGATTGTCTTTAACCACTCATAAAAAGGACCACTGCACAAGCTAACAAAACTATAGCTAAATTAAAGTCGTTAGGCACTCCCCTCAGATTTGCTGAAGTCGGGTACTGTCCAGACTCACATTTCGCTTTGTTTACTTCTGACAGGCTAATTGGCACAACTGACACATTAAGCTTAAACGCATATTTTATCCGTTTGCAGGAAGTTTGAAATTGCATTGACAACGAAAACTCCTGTGGATTGTTTCTGATACACGTTTTAACCGAAATTAATACATGTGGTACTAGCCAATTATTACGCTTCCAACTACTCTTACAAATAGAGAAAGGGAAGCCTAATGCATGGGGACCCACAGGTTAGAGACGCTAAACATTAAGTGACGAATTCCGCTCACAAGTAACATAAGTTAAGACTGACCCTTAGTAATGCAATGTGTTCAAATGGAGCTTGAAATGAAATAAAACGGCGCGACTCCCAAAGTCAAAAAGGGGGAACCCGGTTAAAGTGCCTTCTAGGGAAATTCGTGTTTACAATGAGAAAGATGTCGAATGGAACTATAAACAGATACAATTTAATTATTTGAAGGCAATACCCGCAAGAAGTGATAGCCAAATCCCAAATAAATAATTTAGGAGCAAATACTGTAGCCATGTGGGTCAAACTACATAAATGCATAACAGCTTATTACAGCCTTACAATGGCGAGAAAACGAACAAGTTAAGGATGGCAATAAAGTATACCATGAATAATATTTACAAAGGGTATGCTAAAGGAGATTTTATTACTCCTTCGGTAGTTGCGGTAGAATGTGACCCTTTTTAACCAACCTTTTATACTTCTTCGCGAGCTTAGCATCACGCCGCCGCTGTAGATTCCGTTGCCGTTTCCTCTGCTTCATGGCACGTTCCTCTTGAACCTTTCTACTGCGTTCCTGCCACCTGCTTGAACTCTTCTGCTTCAGTTTTCTAGCCCTACGGGCCGATCTTTGTATCTTTGACAAATCAGTTTTTACTTTGACACCTATGAAGGTTTGTCTTAAAATTGGCAAGCACCTTGAGCTTTTAAATGAGCCAACTGCCAAGCCCTGCGCTGTTTCAACTCCACAGCTTTTTCTTGATTTTCTAACTCCAAATTTGACGCGTATTCGTCAAAATGCTGCGCCTTCTTCAGCAACTTCAAAGAAGACTTTCCAACAAATATGCCTAGATTTGCCAGCCTTTTCGTACGACGTTCTTCTCTCCTTTCCTTTTTGCGACTAGACATAGAGTTGATAAGCTCATCTTGATCGAAGGTTTTAATTTTTGAGAAGTAGAAGTCGCCACCCTGAAATTACGAACTAAAAGTGGTAGGAAGTACATACCATAATTCCAGTGGGATAACGGATTAAGCTGTGAGAACTTGGTGGAAATATCCAATCATAATATGGCACCTCGATTTTAACGCAATTTTATAGATTAGTGGTAAACAGGAGAATTAACCTAAATTGTCATTCGAAATAAATGAGATAAAAGAGGAGATTTATCTCATAGTCCAGAGTAGTAATTGTTTTGCATTGCCACAGAAGGTTGTAATGCTCACAGAAATCTCATAAATGCGAATGAAGAAAGGTGAGGCACCACAAATTTACCATGTTTTAAATCAATTTTGCCGTTAAATATAAACTAACTGATTCTTTTGAATTAGCCACACATATGTTTAACTTACTCAAAATACTTGCCGCTTGCGTAATCCCAATTTGATTTGAATTTCAGCAAATATTTCATTGTGGCGTTTAAACCTGTTTCCTTAAAGCGCTCATTGGCAAAATTACTCGTTATATTTACACAGCCCTTAAAATCTGTATCTTAGCAAGATTGGTACGGAATCCGATCCTTGAAAATTTAATCCCTTAATTGGAGTTCTAGCTATCTGTGTGTGTGTTGACCTAAATGCACCATCTAAGTGGCAAGTAGACAGTTTGAGTTGTGGCCTTGGTCAGTTTCTTGATTGGGATTGCATCATCAGTCATGAGCTAAACTCCAGGCTCGAATCCACCTCCAGAACTTCGGTCATTTGTAAAAACCTGCTCTATCATAATATGTGATGTCTTCCTCAACCCAGTTTTCTTAGTCTAGAGGTCTGATAGCCTAGATAGTACCGAAGAACGACGGAAAAGTTAGATCTGTTACCAAATGTGTATCATTTGAAGGCAAAAGTAGTTTTGGACGATATTAAATAAATCGTGCTTGAATGGTGAGAAGAGTAGATTGGAGGAAGATTCAGATGTTGATAGAGTGTGTTATGCGTTGTATTCGCGATAGTCGCCTCCAGAATGGTCACAAGGCCTTTCTTTTACCTCTTCAAAGGCTCTGGTGGGGTAGCGGATGCCCCGTCTTCTAGTTTGCTTCTCACTTCTATCAAATGTGGGCAGAAAGTGCGAATCCTCGTCCACCGTACAAGGTTTTGAGGGCATGTTAAGGCACTTTGCTTCTGTTGAAATCGAAGGGTTTCCTCCATCTTCAACATCACTCCCAAATTTGTCACAATCACTGTAGTCAGTTAGCGGAGTAGTTGAGGAATCGGACAAGCTATTCATTCTCCCACTCGGAAATAAAGGATTGTCAGGCTGCATGGCAAATTTATCTGCTTCTGGATAGGGTAATCGTCCATGCTCTTCATTTGGGAAATTTAAGATATCCCATTTAAATCCGATTTCAGGCGGTGGCAACCAATCCCTATCGCAGTACCTGAAAGATGCCACATATATAACTACCGACGAAATCTTCGAAGAAATATCTAAACTGTGATTTGGTAACGTTAATTTAATAAGTACATTTCACAAAATTACCATATTAGAAAATACTTATGTGAAACAACTATAGGTAAGCACCAAATCACTAACGCATTACAAGGCCACAAAAAGATGCAGAAATGGGAATTTTGATAAAGGCAAGAAAAATGTAGAAAGATTGGCTCATTTCCCATGCGCTGCCTGATCCATTACATTTCATCCGACTGTCATCAACATAAGTGATGCGCACCAAATATGAACTAAGCGAATACAATTAGTATAACAAAAAATGTATTCACATAATGCGACAAAAAAGGACATTTTCGCTTCAACGGGTTCACAAAGTAGACTGTCGAAACGCATGAAGTTTGCCGCTTATGCAAGTAGCAAACAATACAATGGAAATGAATTACTCCACCCGTTTACTTTTCCTAATCATCATGATTCTCGCCGGAATTGCGCAATGTAATAGGCAGTCGATGAATGATAACCTGTGCTACAAAATGTTTTGACGCCTATGCGCATTCACCTGCTTTTTTCATCTCCTCAAACTGAGCATCCTTCTGTGTGTAAAAGAGTGAAAAAGTGGTTGGTTACTGTGGCTCGGTTCAAAAAAGGAGTTGCTGTAGTTATTAAAAACCTGTCACCTGTCACGAAGGCGCCTCTGCGTGGCTACACCGAATGACATGATTGAAAATGAGGAGTCCCTATTCTCTTGTTTAAATAGTGCCGTGTGATTTGAGTAGCCTTGCACATGACGAATTAGTAGTCGTCTGATTGCCCTTAACGCCATCCGATATACTGTTCATGAGAGATAATAATAGTAGTGTGCATACACACTTTAATAACGGTGTTCCGTATTTATAGTAGTTTAACGTTTAGAAAATAAAAAGCAGGAATATACTTAAATAGTGTTACTTTAAAGTCAAAGAGGGGACAGGTACTTTATGCTGCTTCGAAAGATATTTGTTATTAAATGATAATTTGTTGTTGCATACTACCTCTCTTCTACGTCAGTGAATGGGAGATTCATTAGGCCCTAGAACAGCAGGGTTTCTAAAGTTAAACACCATACTGGCTTGCTTTCTGTCCACGCAAAATTTAGTTCTCAAACCCGATAAACTGCTGCTTTGACATTAATTAAGAGGCTAATGAATCCCTTTATACACCTTAGTACACAGAGTCAATTTTACATAATCCGAATTGGGGTAAAGTAGAAGATGGACATTTAAATTTCGTTAGTCATATGCGACTTAGAGTGGTGAAATTTTAAGGCATTTAGTACTGATTAATTAAGGTGCTTTAAACTTGTAATGTAAACAAAGGTATATTTGGGACCCACCATTTTCGTTGGTCCAAGTTTGGTAGTGGTGGGATGTCAGGCGAGTCCGGATAGGAGTAGGAAGACGTATTTGTGTGTCGAGGTTGATTTATCATGTTGGAGCAGTAGCTTTGAAGGTAGCTCATAACTTCGCCCAGGTAATAAGAAATTACCACTTAAGTGAGAGAATTATGTTGGGTTTTAATGCTGCTAATAATTGGTTCACAGATATTAGTTTTAAAACAACCAATCCAAAAGTTATCCTGAGGAACACGCTTGACGTGAGACTTGTGAAAAAACTTGTTTGTGTGAAAGTGTGAATTTTAATCGGATGGTGAATATATGGTACTTTTTCAAAATTCACCACCGATAGTTGGTTTACGTTACCAAGTAGTTGCGGCGAATTTGGGATGCTTCCATGAGCACTGACGTCACAGGTAGCTGTGGCATGCGCTTTACCTGAAATCCTAACCTTTAGAGCAAATTATCAAAAATGTCTCAGCGGAAAATAACAGACACGTTGATCGTTAATTTACCCAGCAAACTTTTGATATATGTAACTGTAAGGTTGCTGGCTTCAGTTTGGTCAGAATTTGACTTAAGATATTTCAAAATGGAGTAATTCTAAGAGTCGTTGTTATGCCAAAAGAGTGAAAAAGAATTTAGTGTTGCGTCAACTTGATTGGTCGAGTAATGTTTACGCCACAGCATAGTTGAAAAAGAAAGTCCAGACAACAATTTTACAGAATTAGAGAGTTGTGTCTACTTAGGAATATATTGTAGGCAATATTCATGCATGGATTATTTACAAGTCCCAATAATAACTCTCAGAGGGTGGAAATCTCCAGGCTTTTCAAAATAATTATGCAGATCGAAACCTAAGACTTCTTTAAATTTCAGCATCGTGTTGCATTCCATATAAAACGAATTGCACTCTGTAAATTCGCAATGATGTGGTATACTTACTGAAGATCTTTGAATGTTGAAATGTGCCAAAGTAGTACCGCATATGCATAGATACAAATGCGGAGCCCACCGTCTTTGGTGAGAGCTAGCCAATGGGGGGGGGGGGTGAAGTAACCACACAAAGATGATAACATTAAAGGGTGACAATTGGATAATATATAAAGTAACCGATCGAATGACTTCAAAACTCACATATGTACCTTAGTCTTTTAGATACAGTACATGGATAATTATGAATGTCAATAAATTGCATTACTTTATATTCAGTCAAAAGTGCGGAAGAAGAATATTTAACACCGACAGGGCTGAAGAAGATTCGGGAGAATTTAGAATGCGCCTTCTAATGAACTAATAAGGCAAAGATAATCGTATTTTTCAAAATCCGTCTAAAACTATGCAGAGGAATTGTTCAGTATCGATTTTGAGCTCAAATGGAAAGTTTCGGAATTCTTGCAATAGAGCTCCAATTCAAGTCATTTCGAATGACATCGCCGTTCTCTTTCAATTAACCACAATAATAATAGGTATCCGCAATTATGCAGATATATATTTGCACAAATCAGCAAAACAATGTTGAGGCAGCAATTCCAGATTAGAGAGGGGCGAAGACATAATGAGGGCTTAACAAGGCAAAATGAGATGTAAAAATAAGCGCATAAGTCTAGATTCTATGTAACCTGTTGCAACATTTTATAGCGAAAGCGTATGGTATGTGGGGGCACTCCGCTCTTAGAAGCAAAGCACATTAAAAGCATACAAGAACATGCGCCTGTGCGTTTCAAGGGGGAGCTGCCATGAGACGTCTCGTAATGAAGACGGAAATCGTTACTAAGTTGCACATTTCCGTGCCCTTCGCTTGTAGATCATACAAACAATGAATTGTCACCGTGTCTTCATTGAAATTATCACATTGCTTTCTATTAATAAGTGATGAATACAGTAGGCAAAAAAGTAATAAGAAATCACTATTTTGTTTCAATTATCTGGTGGAAAAATCGACAAAACAGAATTATTCACGGACACAAGGGACGATAGTTATCTGGTTTTGGATATCATGTGCACTTTCCTCACCAATCCCTTATACTGTTCCACAAGATTTTGACGGGGTATTATTCAACATTTTTTTCAATGCTATACTTTAAGTAAATGAGGAGTAGTTACTTCGAGTTTATTGACAGCGTTTTCGGCTTTATTCCATTTACATCGTAAAATCATAGACGACTTGCATCAAAATATACGCTTTTATACTACTTTCGATAATTCAAAACTATTTTTACCATAGATGCAGCAGTATTATTTTCAGAACATTAATTTCTCCTCATTTCCTTAAGTGCAAAAAGGTTGATAGACAGATACTAATGGTAATAAAATAGACGCAGAGACAATTTCAAATAATGAACACCATGGATGGGTTTGGTGCTTTCAATCAGTACAGGTAAAGGCAACGTTTAGACACCAAAATTATTGTTGGTATACATAATGGTCAAGTTCACTGAGTGAATAATGTAAAATTTATTTGTGCAAAGTATTTTACAAAATTGGGTCCCTTTAAGTAGGGTCGATTTTTTCAATTTGAATATAATTGTGGGGTGTTTCAGTTGAACTGTTTCGAAGTAAAGGTTTTGGCTATTGCTGCCGCAGCTGGTAGATCGAGTGTTCTCGGATCTTTGCGACACTACAAAGAGAGCAGCATGAAATTTGTGGATGGGTAAATACAAGCTCATTGAAAAGAAGACTAAAAATAGCCAATTCATATGTTCTAGTGTTGCTCTGTCGACGTTTGATGGTGAGGGTCTACCAAGTAAAGGGAACTTTATAAAGTTAAACGAGCATATTTTAAACAAATAGCATATGTTCCTTTTCAAATATAAATTCCATCCCCCAAGTGATAAACGCTAGCATCTTTGGTTTGTCTGATCTCATGGTACACTTATTACTCAGCTTGCACGTCAAAGTATGCTCAGCAAAACCACCATTTCGGCGGAGTCATTTATGTGCACGAAGATGTACAAAGATGAATAAGTCAGTTTCTATTCACTACCCACCACTGATGCATCGGTTTTGTGCAGGTTCCCCTTCCATGCAAATTCCTGCTGTGTGTTTACGATGCTTTCAAGTTTGGCGTTCCACCTGAATGAGCTGCGAAACAAAACAAGAGTTATCAGAAAGGGAGATTTTTTCCCCACAATGCATGTATTAAAATATGCTTAAGCTAGTAAATGCTGCATACCTGTGATTTATGAAAAGTTAAATTAGAGATAAAGTTGTTTTTTAGGTACTGTAGTGTTAAACCTCTAAAAATTGTAAGATTATGTGTTACCCAGTGAAACAGCTCAAAAAACCACCCTGTTGTGCATTAATAATGCCTATTTTTCATTTTGGTAGGAACAAGGATAAAATCATGGCTCTTGGCCAATGTTCACCTGCTTAGTCCGCCATTTGACTGCTGACTCATGGGCAGTATTTCCGTTTCGTTGAATCCTGACTCTTCATAATACTCAGTCAATGAACTATTTTC